TTGTTGTGGGAAAAATACAATAACCAAGATATGCAAACTGTCCTACTGCACAGATATGACTCAAGCCAAGAAGAAGCAGTGTCTGTAATACCAATTAAATCTTCAATGATTTAAAGGAGGATGCCGTGTTTAACAGTGTAGATGTAAAAGAAGATCAAGGACCACATTAGTAAATGACTTAATTCTATTCTATGATAAACTTTGTCTTATATGGTACGGATGTTCAATACAATAAGGAGAGAAAATTATATAACTTAGTTTAAAGTGAACCTGTTGAAAATCCTAAAATACTTTTTTGGCAAACAGTTGTCGGTTTAACTGAGCTGGACAATTGGCTGAGCACTACCGAGAGCAGGTGGGCTTTGGTCAGTAACAACACCAGCCTGACATTCGATGCTACTGTATGGGCTGTATGCTGCTCACAGTGCAAAGGCCAGGCCAATCAGTGTAAAAAGCAGCTGGTGGAACAATCCATGATCCCGAAAGGTGCACATACAGTAGCTTTCCCGATTGGCAACACCTATCTGATTGACAACAGGAGACTTTAAAATTGGTGTGGTAAACAAACTTTTTTAAACTCAGATTTAAAAAAAAAGAAATCACAATTCAGACCAGTTAGTTTTTATAAGGAAGGTGACTGAGACCCTTTTCTGTGACAATGTCACATGTTACATGTCAGATTATGAGTTACAGTAGGAATGACAGTAAAAAAAATCAATGGTAATTTAGCAGAGGACAAATGGAACTAAACTACTTCAGTATTTTTAGTACTGCACTATTACTATTGCAAATTTCACCTCTTTGAGGAAGAAAGCACTGTAAATCCATTATTATTTTCTGTGTTGTTCCTACATATTCTAAGTTAATGTTTCTTATGACATTAGCTCATTCCATTTTAGATGTACAGTACAATTCAGCAAGAAAAAAATAAAAAATAAAAAAGTAAAAAAAGACAGTTAAAATAAGTTACCACTTTTAAGTATAATAATTACTTAAGATAAATGTAATTTAACGGATTTCACCATAGTCATCTTTACAAAAAAGGAGTATACTCAAAGATTTAAGTGGAAAAAATATAATAACTCCTGAATAAAATTTTATTATAGCATTTCTTTATAGGGAATCGAGTGTCTGTAAAGTCTTATGACATAGGCCAGTTTAAAAGATAATTCATTCTCTGCTTGTTTTATTATAACACAAATTAAAAGAGACTTGTACGTAGGAACTGCAACTACTTTTTCTGTAACAACTTTCTTTGACCAAAATAAACAAGCCATAATGGGAAAACCACATCAGCTCTGAAAAAAACATGACTTATTTTTCAAAGGATGCTAATTATTAAGTGAGTAGGTGGCCCTAAGAGCACTTACTGTAACAAGGGCTAATGAAAACCAAAACGGATACAGTGGTAAGGCCAAAGAATCAAGAAAAAGCAGAACCAAGCTATGAAGTGTTGAAGCGACTGGAATACAATTACATGGGATAAGAATTTATTGAGATGGTATTTGGCATTTTCCATATACTGTATTTGAACACAATAATAGAAGGAGTTATCTGTCATATATCCATCAATTTTCTAACTGCTTCAGGGTCACAGGGAAGTCAAAACCTAACTCTGAAAGTAACGTACACTAGGTGGGATACACCCTGGACGGGGTGCCAATCCATCAGAGGACACTCACACAAACACACACTCACACTAAGGCCAATTTTCCAAGACGCCAACTAACCTACCAGTATGCTTTTGGACTGTGGGAGGAAACCGTATTTTTGTTCCTCTGTATGTGTGTAATTATGAGACATCAGTAATTCAGAAAAACTGAAATATTAATATATAATACATCACAATCACCTTGAATTTTTTCCTTTATCAACAGATAGGATGGAAAACAGGTTTCTTCAAAATGTCATTACTGGAAATAGCTGAAAATTGTATTTTGCCCATATGTCTAGTGTGTGATAACCAAATACATGGCTTCCACCTCAAGGTGAATTTAACAAGGCATTTATAATATTACTATTCTTTACAACTTACCATTAATACAGAGATCTGCACCATGACATATACAGTATATATGCAGTATACACCAGTTAATGGTTAAAAACTACTGTCTTGTTTTGAGAGTTAAGATGAAGGACCTTTTTATTTTACAAACAGAACCATTTATTTCAAATACATTACAAAAACGTGAAAAGCCCTGAAAATGTGTCAAGATTTCTAAAACAAACCCTGAGCTCAATCAGCGTTACCTTCAGACATGGAAGGAAGGATATGCATTTTTTTTAATGTGCTTCCCGGGAGGTTTTCTGAAACTTCTAACTGCAGGAATTAAAGAATGTGTTTAATCTTCCAGCAATACTTTTTTGGGGTAACCATGATATCTAACACTGATTAAGAACTCCATAAATTGCGGCAATGCCAGTGATACACTGATGTCCATGTAGTACTTGGGGATAAAATGCAGATCCTTTTTGTTACATCCATTTTACTTCTTGATTATTTTAAGGAAAATCAATTACTGAGCTAAACGGTATTGCATCTTTCTATTTGTTTCAGGAAGAGTGGCATCTTTGGAAGGTACTGTATACACATTTTGGTGTAATTGCTATACAATTAAACAATCTCAAAAGATCTGATGCGATAGCTTTTCTTCACACTATGAATCACCAAGGTTTCACAACACCACTCTTCACATTTACACAATATCATATTGTACAACACTTAACCTACAAAATGTTAAGAGTATCTGTATTGATATACCCTGCCTGTGTTTAAACATTGCAAATTTTAGTTTTTGTGTGGTAAAAAACACATTTAGTAGCAAACTGTTAATTGGTGTTTTAGACCATGCTTGAAATAGAAAGAATAAAAAAATGATTTTTTGCAACAATAAGCCACATAGAAAATGTCATTATTTGTGAGTGGAATTTTATAAGAATCCAGAACTTCTGTACCAGTAGTATAATGGACTTGTAGCTATAGCAATATAATATGCCATATACAACATAAATTTGACTACATTTTTTTAGTTTTTGATTTTTCATTTAGGTTTATGAGCATACTGTATGTCAGTCCACAAAAAAGAATTTGAGGGCTGCCTGTCACTGGTAGTCAATCGAGAAACTTCCAGACTCATCCATTAATTCCAAATATTCCCCAGAAAGCACACTGTTCAAAATTAGATCCCAATTAAAAAAAAAAAAGAAATTAAAGAAATTAAAGACTAAGCACCAATAATAATGAAGGGCAGGTGAGGTCCTTATCCATCTGTAAAGACAGGCTTCATTCACTGTGTAAATCAGTGCTTGACAGTTGCCCTTGAGTTCACCTTTGCAGGGTGGGGGGATGAAAAGGCCATTGAACAAAATGCTCATTCCTTTTCAAGACTGTCCCTGGAGCCTCAAAGCTGCTAATATGAGCAACACCCTGTCTTCTGCTACTCCACTCCATGTACTTATATAGTCAATGATATTGAATCCTAAAAGCAGGAAAGGTTAAAGGTCATGTTTTCATGGATGTGGGAAAAGCAGGGCAATGTATTCATCAAGTAACTGACCTTACACATTCATCTCTGGGTTTGATTTGAAACTGTCATCTCTATTGACCTGAATAACAGCATGAGTACAGATATCCACGTTATAATACTCTGTTGTACATATTCTGTGCAATTAAACTGATGACATCTTTAGGGGGCAAGTGGACTAAAACATCACTAAACTACCTGCACGAAATAATACATATACATTAATGTGCCCTTCGTTACTACTGTATTTACATGTTCCCTACGACGAATTATAGTCCACAGTTTGGAGAACAGATAGATTTTATATTGTCTGTTCAAAGACGCACTTGATACATAAGGAAACCTTTTTTGCGGATCATCTTTCGTTCAACTTCTCTACAGGGGGATCGAGTGACGCTGCACAAAAGTAAAAAGGAAGAGGATTACTGACATGTTTAATCCCACAGGTTCGTGCCGGGCCTTAAATAGGCATTTCACAGTCCCAACAAGCCACCTTAAACCACCTTCAGTTTTCACTTCTCTCCCGGTCACATTTTTCTTTCTGTTGCATGCGCCCCATTCTTGGGGAAATCCTGCGTGTGTCACACAAATGAATAATCTTTTCAGTTCAAGTCATATTAATGTTCAGAGTGATGCTGTGTTTCCACATCTGTGACGCATAGTGGCAGAATCTGCAATGACTTGCAAATCCTCACGTACGCACATCCTTGTACTGAAATGTATTATAGAAATTACGGTAACGCGCTGATTTACACATCAACTGTATAACAATGATTTTAATAACCTGACATTCCAAAAGCTATTATATTCCTCTCTAACTCTCAAAAGGGAAGCAATACATTATTTTTACATTGCTGATTAACATATCGAAAAGTAGTATCTTATAAGGAATGTCGCTTTAGCAGCGTGCTGAACTTCCTGATTTAAAAAAGGGGTTTCATTTTGGTAACAGTTGCTTTTGTCTTAACTACTTTACTCATAAATGCATACACCCAGCGTTCCCATTCGCTTAAATTCTCTAAGTAATAAATATTTTTACTCAACACTTCCCCTTCCTATCTGCAATGAGTCCTAACTCTTATTACATTGCAAAGCACATAATCACTTAATTCTAGCAGACTGGGATGGAAAAAGCGTATACGGTAGGCTACGTGATCACTGGAGTAGGGTGAAAACTGCGCAATGCAGTGCTCAACATTTAAGTGTGGCAGAGTATGAACTATATGAGTAAAGGCGAATTAAATCATTATCGAGGTTCCTGGAGCCCACAAGGTGACATTTGGTATGCGAACATCGTCAGCAGGAGCACACCATACTGCTGCTGTAAAGTATAAAAATACATTAACAGCAAGAAAGGATTTCAAATGTTCTGTCAATATACAGTCCCCATTACAGTACCGACATACTTTTAAAAAGATATCTTCTGCTGTTTTCTCTTTTCGTCCGGGCGCAGTGTTAACGCATGCGGTACTGTACCTTGAGCATCCCCGCCGCTCGTCAGTACGCCGATGGCTTTCCCCGCACCGGAGAGGTTCTCAAAAAATTTCTTATCAGGCTGCGCCATTTCTTTCTGCGAGATAGTCTTTCAAAAAATAAATATTTTCATAAAAAAAACAATTATAAATAATAACCGGTTGTGGTCTATATATTCAGAGTATGACGCATTAAAATGCGTGCCGGTGTCAAAAGGGAGAATGAAATTGCCGCAGCAGTGTCCGCCCCCGTTCCTGTGTCTCTGTCTCTCTGCCCCTCCGGTGTCTCCAGCCCAGCTGGCCGCGGATATTTCACTTGGCAGACTCGGCTCCGAGAGCTCCGCTTCACTGGCAGCGCAGCCAGCCAATAGGCGGGGGAAACACTTCGTCCTCGGGCCCCTGAAGCCAATCAGACAGGCTGTAGGTGGGATTAGGTGGTAAGGTGAGGTAGCAGGGAGGGACAAGATAGGAAATGAGCATTTCTTAACTTAAAAATAATGACATAACACAAAACACAGTAATTGGGAATACCATACTCAAAAACACCAATTTAAGATTTTCCGATCTCTTACGGTGCTCCACTGTTTTCCAGTGGATGAATTTCAGTTTTGCCGTCTCCTTCATGCAAGTAATGAGAAATGAGAAAGAAACGATAAAGATGACAACCCATTGTTTTTTTTTTACTAATGTGCCGTGCTGCCTATTATTTTCAAATATCAACCTTGTGCAATTATATCCTCATACTCTTTGCAGATGTACGTTGCTTCACGGCGTAGTCAAAACACCTGTTACCGGAATGAGTGATTCTAGTGTCCGGGGCAGCTTAGAATTACTTAGGCACACAATACAAATGCACACTTCGGTCATATAAATAATATTGTATTTAATTTTAAACTTATTTTTCAGTGCGTCTAATTGGGTTTCAATTACTTCAGGGGTAGCACAATGGTTAGAATTGGTGCCTCGCAAGCTGGAGCCCTGGGATCATTTCCGGACCTGGGTTGCTGACTTCGTGGAGTTTGTACAGTACTGTATGTTCTCCTTGTGTTCGCATGGGGTTCCTCCGGGTGCTTCGGCTTCCTTCTACAGTCCAAAAACATACTGGTACTGTAGGTTATCTGACTTCTGGAAAAACTGGCCCTGGTGTGAGTGTGTGTCCTGCAATGGACTGGCATCCTGTCCAGGGTGTGCCCTGCTTTTCGCCCATTGCTTCCTGGGGATGGGCTCCTGCTCCCCTTCAATTCTGAACTGGAAGAAGCAGCTATAAAATGGATGAGTGGAGGATACAGTACTCGATCCAATACTGTAAGGTAATATTGAATCACATGAGATGATGAACAAGAGCTTGTATTATTATAAATATTATTTTATACAGCATTTTTAAAGGTGGCTTCTCAAAGAACTTTACAGAATGACAACAGCAATAATAAAATAATATACAAGATGTGCATAATGGGAATATACTGTAGCGCCCTCGCCTGGCGTTGTGGCCGAAGAGCACCCGGGTGGGCTACACAGCAAGGGGCAGTAGAGGGAGACGTGCTGGCCAGGGTGGGGACTAGGAGAGCCGCTGGCCAGTGCAGCTGACTAATTGTGGAACAGGTGGACACAGTTGCGAGATCACCCTGACTCATATAAATAGTTTCTCTGGTTTTGCACTCCTTTTATATATGTACCCAATTACCACCCTATACCAATGTAATTGTGTATCGGAATTTACCCCAGTGTGTTGAAACCTGTTGACTTCCTTTTCACTCTCTTCATCTGTTGTGGTTTCTGTGCCGGTCCAATTAATAAAGCGCCGTGTTCTCAGTTAAGAAGGGCCTGGTTTCCTGTGTCTATCCTCGCCGAACCTGTCATGTTGCAATACAATGAGAGGAGACAGTAGATGAGGGTACTGAATACAGTAGGAGCAGAGGGGGAAAGAACAGAACCGGTTAAGGCTCTTCTAAAGAAGAAGGTTTTGAATGATGCAAGTTTGTAGCCATTCTTCTTTGCAAACTTGCTCAAGCACTGTCTGGTTGGTCAGGAATCATTGAATGGACAGCAATTTTCAAGTTTTACCACACATTTTGTATTAACTCCAAGGAAAAATATTGACTGGGCCAATAAAGGAAATTTGCTTTCTTCTTGTTAAGCCACTTCTTGTTAAGACCAAAGTAACTTTGGTTTTGTACTTTGGTTCATTTTGAAAGGTGAATATTTGTCCCAGTTTTATGTCTTACGAAGACTGAAACAGTGTTTTCTCAGATTTACCTGGACTTTGTTATATATATCATCCCCAAGCTGTCCAGTACTGCTGATTTGATGCGGCCCCATAACATAATGCTGACAGTGTGCCAGAAATAACATCAGGTACTGTATATCAGGTAGAATTCAGCAGTTGGTTTTCTCATCATACTGCCAGAGTAGATATAGTACTTAGTTTGCACTATAGTCATACTTGTTTACATATATTGCAATTAAATATGCAAAAGAATTGTTGAGCAGTACACATAGGCATATAAAATCTGAACCTCTAAGCTTTGCCTTGAAGTTCATCAGCTTATCAGAGAAGTGGACACCTGGGCAAAGGAACATTTTTGTATGGCAGGTGCAGAATAAATACCAGAGTAAGTAAAACCGACGTGAATGTATTAATTATCCGCTGAAGATTCACAGGTGGAGACATTTTCCTCTTGAGAACTCCTCTTACACATTCCTTCACTTCTACCACTGCTTCAAAAGGTTACGGGTGCCCTCGTAATTAAAATTATGTTTGCTGGCTTGTGAATTGTTCCCTCACTGCCACTTGTTGGTCAAAAGTTCCAACCTCAGACGTTCCCACACAGTTGCTTCTCTGAAGAAAAATATAGCTGTTAGGGGCAAAGGACACCATGAAAGGTTGGAACTCCAGGGATGATGACAACAAGAGGCAAATGTCAGTGCAGGAGTAGCTCAGGGATCCATTAATGGGACTACGGGAAACATAATGGATTTGTCTGAAGACTTTGGAACATGGGCAATTACTGTACATCAGTGAAGCACTTTGTAGTTCAAGTAGAATAAAAATCAAAAGACCATATGGCTTCCCAGGTTCTGGAGGGAGTGTGACTCATTTAGGAAACCCCTGATGTGCTGATTCTTTTTATTGCAAAGACAAGACAAAACAAACACAAAACAAAAAACCATACCAATATACCGTAAGCAATTAACTTACATACCACTACACTGTAATCAATTTCAATCAATACATACAAAAGTTTCCCTCTTACCAACCCAAATCCTTACACAAATTCAACCCTCCCATTACCATTAATATAACACTAGCATATATTCTAATTCAAGGCAATTTAACATACAACCATCTCGCCTCATGTGCTGATAATCTAAGTACAGTACATGACAATGGCAAAGAAGAGTAGCTAGAGGCTACTGATGTGTGCAGTGTTAAGGAGTCTTCACAGGAGGAGGCCCTGTGACTCAGTTTGCATGCATTTGCTGTTCTTGCATTTGGTTACAATACTGCATGTTAAAGGTCACAGTGTTGTGAAATGTTATTATTAACAGTGTGTTCTCAGATAACATAAAATGAAAGACATAAGCAGGTAAGAACAGGGGGAAAAAAGTAGGAAGAGAGCTATTGGTTTTAGTAAAGGCTTGCCTAAAAAACTACAGTAACCATAGTTAAGATTAATTGTGTCTGGAAAGGTAAAGCATAATGACACACATGCTTCAGTTTTGTACTTGATATATTCTGTTCCTAAGGATCTGCTCAGGTATTCTAAGTCTGTTTTATTGAATTATTCATGTGCTGCAAAACTTTCCAGTGCTCATAGTTTCAGGAATTAGAACTCACAATTTAACGTAAACTAGAATGAGTTCAAACTTTCTGTACCATAGCTTCTGATTTATTTTTCATTAACAGTCCTTAAACTAATTATTTAAAGTTTTCACTAAACGAAGCCTGCAATTATGTCTGCTCCTAGCCTAAATAGCAACATCAATTCAGCAACAGTTTAGCAAAGATACTGTGCAGTGCTAAAACGTAGTTAGGTTTGTTGCCTTTTGAAAACCCCAGAAAAAGTCTCGTCTCATGGCTCTTCTCAGAACTCAAAACGTTTTTCATAACACTGCAGAGGACCAACCCTTTATTTCCAGACAGCCGACACAGAATTTCAGAAATCTCTACTTCCCATTCTTTAGGCATCACCGGACCAATTACCTTCCAGCAATTGATCAGGTGACTAGGAGTGGCAGGCCATTCCCCACAGCCTTCTGGGGAATGTAGTTCCCCAGAGGTGCCATCTTGTCTGAACTTGCCATCCTATCACATCCTTTTTATTTAAAACCCTTTTTTATTTTTTAGAATATTTTTAAAAGGTTAAATACATTTTAAAAACAGAAATGCTAGTAGGTGTTAAAAGAGTAGGGATGGTAGTTTTAATTTCTAATGGAAAATTATAATACCTCTTTAAAGCAATCTACCAGAGATGGAGGAAGGACATGTCACCAAACTGTACAGTTTAATCATCCATCTGTTTTTTAGAAAACTGCTTATGACTGGTAAGACCGGCAGCAACCAGAGCCTCTCCTGGAAGCATTGGATGTAGGGTGACTCTTGCACCCTGTATATGACATCAGTCTATCAAAGGACATACACAAGAACACAGGAGTTGTTCCGAGACACCAATTAATGTCACCAGCATGTCTTTAGAAGTTAAGAGGAACCTGAAGCACACCCATTCAATCAATTAAAATATGCTTTTAAAGCAGACATCTATATTGTGATACACATCACATATCTATATAGAATATAATCACTTATATATAGTTTTATAAATGTTTAGAAATGAAAATGGTGGTAAATATCTGATCTCTGTTTTCTGGACTATTTTCTAAATGAATATGAAAGTAAAACATATTTACTTTGACATTTGGAACAAAAATAATGAGACAGTGTCTGAGCAATTCTGGTATTGCACAATATTCACTATGCACTACATAAATTGCTTTTATAATTTACAGACTTCCTCTCACATACTGTAAATTCTCTGAGTAGTAACTGAGTCTATTCATCAGTCTTCTCTTATTTGAACTTTTATCCTATTAAATACCCTGACCCACAGAGAGATGACACTTCAAGCAGCATAGAAGAAACAGGGATGCCTTAAATTATTCATAGTAATGATTTGTTATTTGAGTTTGAGTTCTAGTGGTACTATAATACTGAGCGAGAATGTGGATGCTGCTCAGAGTATCTATACTGTACATCAAGCAATAAACCACGTTATGGTATTAGAAGTGCTGTAATAATGACAGTCCAGGAGATG